AGGAGGGGGTTAAGGGAAGGCATGGATAAAAGGAAAAAAATGAGAACCAAGACCTGTCATGTAAAATACACAATCCCAATAATGAATGTAATTGTACTGTATATCTTAAATGTACCGATAAACTCAATAAAAGGAAAAAAAATTGGAAAAAAAGATGAAATCTTTTTATTTGAAACAACATGGACATGTGACCACTTTCATCATAGAGAGTTTGTACTTGTAAATAATATATCAATTCTTTTTTCCCATTATGTATGACAAATATATACTAAGAAAAAAGCTTAATACCAGTTTGAGTATCTTAGAAACTTATAAAAAATGTTTCATTCAGAGTTTCCAAGGGCCGGGGATTTAGTTCAGTGGTTTGGTGGCCTGCCTTTCAAGTGCAAGTACCCGAGTTCAATCCCCGGTACCAAAAAAATCAACCAAACAAACAAACAAAAAACAGAGTTTCCAAAGTAAGAAACTAAATAAAGAAGTTTCCTCAGAACCAAACTTATAAAAGAAAAACACATGGAACACAGTGAACATTATTATGTATAAGTTAAATGAGTAAAGTATGAAAAAACAAATTCCAAGTGATCGCAGACATGTGTAGAACCTAATAAAATTTGCTGTCATAGAGGTTGAGATTAGGGTGATGGATACCACAGGCTAAGGAAAGTACAGATTGAAAAAGGAGTAGGGAGAATTTAATCAATGAATACTGATTGAGTTACAAATCAGTAAAAAGTTGAGTTATTACACAGGAGGATAATCACAGTAGTGATAATGTACTAGGTATTCCAGGAACACAGATGAAAAGATTTTGAATCTTTCCAGCAAAAAAAGTAATAACTATCTGAAGAGATCAATATGTTTAATATTATTTAAACATGATCAGCACATATATATGTATGAAATATCATAATTTGTGCTGCAAATGTATATAATTGTTTTTATTAATCAATTTAAATAATTTTCAAATTATGGAGAAATCTTCAATTAAAGCATATGACCTTTTCATTATTTCTTGATTTGCATATTCATTTCATATTTTAAATATGATTTTATGCAAAATCTATAATACTCTATTTCATGTCTTCGTGTTGTCTTTTACTTAACTTTTCTTGATGGTTTTTGAACTAAGAACATTTCATATCTCTTACATTGTGGATGATATTAGTTTCTGTTTTTCTGTTTTTTTCTCTAAAGTGTGGCTTATTTTCTACATTGAATTTGAAATCACTAATGAACTTCTTGCTAATATCAAATTTGTATTTATTTCTGAAACTAATAATGTATTTTTACTGTGAAAGTAGTGATTATATATTTAATACCTCCTGCTGTCATTCTTACTACTTTGAGTCTATTTAAATGCATGTATTTGTTTTTGTGTCTTTCCTGGCAGGACAAGTTGATTTTTTTTTCCCCCTACATCCAGTGGTACCTTTTTTATGAAGGGAACTGGCTTCTGAAAAGTTCCCTAAACTGCACTTTTTCTAGCTTAAACTAAATGAGAAAAACTTCTAGAACTATATAGATACAGTGATGTGCTTTCTCCAAGTGCTAAAATACTCTTAATTTGTCACATATTTTGGAATAACTCACACCAGCTCATGTATATTTTACCTTGCATGCCACCTTTCCACAGTTTCTCTGGAAAATAAAGCATGAGATATTCAGAGAATCTTCCATGACCCTACTAGTGCTTGTTGCATATCCTACTGACTAAATAAATAATCCCAAAAAGTTATCAGAATTGAAGGAAAATTCATAGTCCTTACATAATGATGAGAGTTTGTTTGGTCTAAGAAGCTGTTTTCTTACAGGTAGTCTTTCTCTATCCAGTAATTTTTAAAAGTAATTATATTTTTATTATGTGCTAACGGAAATGTTGAGCATTAGAATGATGTGGTGAAACAGATATAAGAGATCTTTCCTGAAATCGTGGTTTAATGAGAGGGACCACAAGCTATTATAATCCACTATCCTACTAATAATGGTAAAATACAGATTCAAGAAAGACACTAGTCCATTCTGGAAGAATAAGTAGGAATTAGACAAATGAAATTTAAATGTGAGTAGGGTGTTGCAGACAGGAGCAGAAACATGAATAAAGATACAACAGTAGGAATGTCAGGTTATTTTGAGGGAACTGGAAACAGTTTGATGTTGCAAGAAAATGCAGTGCAAGGACAGAAATAGCGAGATGCAAACCTAAACAGCACAGAGAGGCCATTTCAAACTTATGAGACCTAAAAACTTTGGATTCTTTTAAGGACTTATTTTACTTTTGACTAATAAGTATTACTTGCGTTTATTATTGGTACACAGTATATTACTTCACATGCACACAGCATGTACTAAGTAGATCCTTGCAATGGACACTTGTTTGAATTGATGACTCAAAATTTAAGCTGCCTTTATAGCTCTTCATTTTATGAATTTTGTAGTGCAAGAAAAATATTACCTCAAAATGCATTCCAAAATGTCCTAGCCTACATTATTGCTATCAAAAAAGAATACAGCTTTTTTCTTTTGTTTCAATTATTATTTTGTACTAGTACATATTAACCATACATAACGATTACATTCATCAGCGGTATTTGGTACATAGACTTTTCACATCTTAATTCTTTTTCATACCCTTCTCCTTCCATCCCTCCCTCCTCCATTTTCTGGTTTCTATCCCACCAGCAAGAACTGTCTTACCTTTTCCCATTATTTGTATTTTGCTTTTTATTTATATTTCGGGTTTCTCACATAAAAGAAACTATGAAATATTTAATCTTGTGTGCCTGATTTATTTCACTTAACATTATGGTTTCAAACTGCATCAATTTTCCTATAAAGGGCTCAAATTTAATCTTTATGGCAGATGAATGTAGAAAGAAATTGTGGTATTTATATATGATGGAGTAGTAATCTACAATTTTTTGGCAACCTAAAGAAACCCTCCTTAAATTCAAGAGCCCAAAGCTACTGAATCTGTACATCAGAGGGAGTCTCTTCTTGGCAACAAAAATGACTAATCAATACTCATCAAAACAATTGTTAGACATGTTTGTCAGGAGTTGTTTTTTATTTCTGAGTATCAAGTTACAGCAACTTTTTATTTTGAAATAATTTCAGACTTACAGAAGTTTTTCAAACAAAGATATGATTCTTCTTTATACACCATTTAATTTTCTGTATAGGAATGTCTTAGATAACTACCATCAAATTTAAGAATTATCATTGTTATAATACTGTCAACTAAACAATGGACTTTATTCAAATTATTTTAGTTTTCCACCTTTATTTTTTATATTTTAAAATTTAAACTGGAATTTCACACTGCAGTTAGTGTGTGAGTCTTTATTATTCTTTTTAAAAAATTATCTCAGTTTTTTCTTTTTCTTTTCTTTCAAGACCTTTAACAATTTTGTTGGTATTGGCTGTGTGTGCCAAATATGTCTCTCATTCTGAATTTCTTTAGCATTTTGCCATATATAGATTTCGGTCACTGATTTTTTAGAATAATCATGTAGAAGTTAATTATTATTTCATCACATTATAATAAAGAATTCATTATAACATGACTCATACTTGTGTTGTAAATGCTGGTCACTTGGTTAGGGCAGTTTCTGCTAGGTTCTTTCAAAGCAAAGTAGCAATTGTAATTAATAAATACTGCAGGACTTAAATCTTGTGGCTCTGTAAATCTCCTGTTTCTCCTTAAACACCTACCACTAATGTTATTTAGATTTAATTTTGTCAGTGGCTTTTGCCTGCAGCCATTATCATTGAGATGTATTTGTGATTTTTTCCCTTCATTTCTTCTGTATGTATTAAGTAGAATTCTTCACAAAGACGTTCATTATTCCCTATTTGTTCCACATTTAATGAATTATTGAACATAAGATAGAATCATACACATTCATTTTATTCTGCAAATTACAATAGAATATCATTATTTATAATGCTTGAATTATTTCCACTCTAGCCTTTGGGAGGTTTTCCAAGCTGACCTGAGTCCTTGTTAGTATATGCTGCATCCCATTTTCAGTGAGCAGTTTCCTCTTTGCTGTCATCACAATATGCTTCTGGCTCATCAAGTATTCACACTGGCTCAAACTTTAAGTCAGACAATTCTACAGGAGATCATTTGTCTATATTTGTTTTAAGAATAATGTCTTCATACCATATTCTGGGTGCTAAACATGCTAGTTTCTATTGGAGTATTGTGGATTTCAAGTTCTCTCGGTAGAAATAACAAGAAAGATTTTCTATACAAAGAAGTTTAGAGGAGGCATACATATCTTCATATGTGCATTTGTATAAAGATATTGCATACGCACAGGTATGGTGCAAAGAATGAGTGACCATTAACACTATCTCCCTTCCAGAAGGAGGAGTTTTATTTTAACGTTGCACATTTGATTGATTTAACTCATCTTTCTGAGAGTGAAAAGTCTGGTCTTTATTATTTGTATTTATATTTTTACTATACATATAATTTTAGAATAGCCAAATATTACTGCTCTGAGAGAAAAATTCATCAATCTGATGTACTGTGAGATTTATAGCATTGTGCATTAATATGTTGAATGTTTTTCTATTGTTTAATATAAATATTAATTTTCCTTGAGGCTTCCTTTTTGATTATTTTCAAATATGTGAGTACTTCCAGATGACCTTTTCTTATTTATTTCTTTTTTTATAGGCAAAATTTTACTTTTTTATTGTGTTTATCGGTATATTTTAGGTATACAGTACAGCTACATTCATTGTTGGGATCTTGTACCTCTACATGACAGGTGGTCTTGGTTCTCATTTTTTCCCCTTGTCCCTTCCCTCCCTTCACCCCCTCCTCCACTCCCCTTTTACAAACACTTTGTTTTCATTTTTTCATTTTTCTCATATTTTTTTCTTTTCCCTTATTACATCACTGTGACTTGAATGTACTTTTTTTTTCAGTTCAAACTTGTTTCCCATTTATTAAAGTTCAGGTTACCATCACATGGTTTGGTACTCAATAAAGGAAAACTTGTTCAAATAAGGTAATATGTTATCATCAGCATTTCCAGGTGATTTTTTACAATCAAGTAGCACTGTCAAGAAATCCTTGAGAAGGTAGCCAGTCTGTAGGTTACACTTTGTCAAGGCCCAGCTCCTTTGGAGTGGAGATTTCTTTCAGAGTTGGTCTCAGTTCCTGGATGACATAGGGGTAGATTTCCTTATGAGGTCCTGCTTTGTCCTTAGCCACCTCTAGAATCCCAACAGCACTAGCAAAATCATTTAACCGTCTGCATGCCCGCAAAGCAGCGTCAGTGATTTTGGCTGCTGGAACCAGATCACAACCAGCAAGCGTGTTCATCCCTTTACGCAATTCCCAGGCATCTATATCTGGCTTGTTGAAGTTTGTCACCCAGCGAGCATCGAACTCCTCATCTGTCTCGTGCGACCCAAGGGAATAGAAGCGAGCCAACTGGATAGCGACCACAGGGTTGGGAGCACCCGCGGGCTGTAGGAGGCCCCCGGGGCCGGGCCCAGGCTATGGCTGCTACCGCACAGCGGTGGAGAGCAGCGCCCAGCATGATGGCCATGGCGGTTCACGGACTGAGGTTCCAGAGAAGCGGGTGAGAGCTCGCGGGCAGCTCGGAGCGCTTGAATGTACTCTTAATACTATCTTCTTAAAGCCACTTCTGTAAAGAACTGATGTTACTTTCCCTCAGTTCAGGACCAGGTGGAACGATCTTTTTTTTTTTTTTTTTTCAGAATCTCCCCATATTTTGCATAACCAAACAATGAGGTTTTGAATTAAAACTCCTAGAGAAATTATGCACTCTCTTATATTTGCTTCCTTGATGTGGATTGAAATTAAACAGTTATCATCAAACTTAAGGACAGGAAAAATAAACTATTGTATTCAAATGGAAATATGTATGTGATGCTATGAAAGAATCGATAGTAAAGATGAGATGTAGTCATTATTTCATGGATTGGCAATTATTTCAACAAGATCAATCAGTGATTTTATATGCAGTTTGTTTTGTTTTTGTTTGTGTTTTTTGTTTTTTACCTATTTTATTCAAAGTCAACAAAGTCAACCAAACCATTTTTACCTCATAATAATTGTGTCTCCAGAATGTTAATGCAACCACAAAGTAGGAATCAATATTTACCACTATGAGATGTAGCTTACAATAGAAATTGTTGCTATGAGTTGCAGTCTATTAATAATATAGGCTTTTCATAGCAATAATATTAGGCAAATAATTTGTTAAATTCAGAACATCCTGCATAGAGAGAAAATCAATGCCAGAGATGATTGGGATCAAGTAGAAGGCAGTTCCTTCAGGCAAAGCAACAAGGAACTAACTAACTGAGGCAGAGGTGAGAAGACAATGTGCAGGTAAATGAGAAAAGAAAACAATCAGTAATCTTTATTCTGCTGCTGAAAACATGAATAAAACTGCAATATTAGAGGCAGAGGGAGATAAAGAGATGATGGCTAAATTTTGAAAAGGGCCAGGGATTTATCTCACTGGGGTGCAACTGCCTGGCAAGAGTAAGGTCCTGCATCCCATTCCCAGTCAAACAATAAAATTAAATAAATAAATAAATAAAATAAAAAGGAGCACCCAAGTAGCAATCTTAGAGAATGTATAAGTTGAATTTTGGCCACAAAGTGTTTGAGGATTTTAGGTATAATTTAGCCATTACAGGTAGTATTAAGGATTTAAACAAATCTTAAGTGTAATAATGAGTATATTAAGCAAATTCTATTTAAATTTTAGAATTTAAATGGCATACTCTCAGGTAATCACTGAGGAAATATCCATGTCTGTAATTGGATACAACAGCATAGAAGAGAGCTATTTTTCTGTTTCTGTTTCAAAGACAAGGTGGGGGAGCTGAGCTTATAAAGAACTTTGTTTTTAACCCTCTCTTCCAAGGCACAGCCCACTTTCTCTTTACCAGTTATTTTTTATTTGATGTATTTCCTGATCAGTAGAAGATATCAGATCAAATTTAAGATAATTGGGTTTTTTATTTTCTGTTCTATGTCAAATCACTTCATAGCCTAGTGAAAACTCTTTTTGTTGTTTTTGGAAGAGTAGTGATGGATTTTCAGGCATGCTTTACTTCTGATTATTATCAGTTTTCACTCATGGTTTGGTTACAAACATTTACTGAATATTGTCAGCCAGTGATAGCTGGTATATGAAGTAGGATATAGTACAAACTAAATTATATCTGTATCCTCTATTTTTGTGTTTATCATCTCAGAAAGTGTTCATAACTGGAATTAAATTCTCACTTTCTGTTAAACTACATATTGCACATTAGTGATGATGACCGGTTCTTAAGAATCAGTTGTGATCTAACATGTATCATTATTTTCTCATATTTGTTGCATACATAATACACCAATATGTTATATGTTTAATTTAATCTTAGGTAAAAGTGTTTGTTTTCATTAATTAACAGTTTTAAAGGTGACAGATTACAATACCATTTTTAAGCAGTGAAAAACAATGGTAGATAATATTTCAGTCATCTAACATAACATGACAGCATAAGATTATATAAATAACATAAAAATCCAAATTTTAAAATATGTCATTAGAGTATAGCTCCTTTGAGTTTTTTTAATCTAAAATATTCTGGATATACTGGGTAATTAATTATCCTCTGTGCAAAAGCTTCTACTTTCATGTGAGTTCATTATTCTTATCAAAAGTATATTGCAAAATATAGTAATGATGCATTTCATTTTATCTGTTAAGGAAAACACAATTTTCCTGCATCCTCTCCAGCTATTCCTTTTCTAGGTATGTTCCCTAGAGAGTTAAAGATGTACTATTACAGTAGCACATACACGTGCATGTTTATAGTGAAAGGGAATTTTGCAGACATTTTGCTTCTGTAGTTCCAGCTAGACTTACTATGGGAGATTCCCTACTTGAAATTTCATTTGTTAAACATGTCTGAGCCAGCTTCTGCATCTCAGGAATGTCTTTGTCTTCAGAAGAATTTTGTCATTTCACCAGAATGCAAATGAAATATAAACCTCATGTTTGAAATTACCCTATAAACATGTTGCCAGTAACATGTGTGAGCCAATAGCAGGACTGATCCTGTTTGTTAACGCATATTCCATTTCTGTAACCCATGAATGTATACCAAAGATGCCTCACTTGAAACACCTGTTCTAGAGTGTTTATGTGTTCATGTGTACTTTGTTCATGTGTTGCATGGGGCCGGTCTCCTACGTGTGAATGCAGACTAGTCCGCAGGTGTTAAATAAAACTTTACTTTCATTTTATCTCCATAACTACCGGTGTACTTTCCATCCTTTCAGACTAGTGGCAATAAGCTATATCAATCAAATCGAAATATCATTTCATCTGGGGGCTTGTCTGGGATGGATCGAATGTAACTGATCATTTGATCATTGGTTGTAACCCCTGCAGAGGGGCACAACGATCCTCCCCAAAAACTGTGAGGAGAAGGTGTGTCCTTGGAGATTTCCCTGAGTCTTTCTGGGAGTTGGGAAAGGTCTCCATCTGCTGCACAGCTGTCCCCTGAACCCAAAAGGACTAAGGATAGATTGTTTGGGTGATATTCCACTATGAGAAGTAAGTACTTGGGGCACTCTCCTTATTCAGCTCTGGGTGTGGAATTGTCCACTCTAAGGGGTGGCCCAGGGTTCTGATCACCCCCCAGTAAGAATGTCCACTTTTGTTTCAGTTTAGGGAATGCCTATTCTGTCTGGATTATGTTGTTGGTCAGGACCCTCCATAAGTGGGAGGGAACATTTAAACTTTGAGTGATTGATGTATGAGTGAGTAAATGCTTGTAGCAAGCAGTGAAAACAATAGACTGATTCACCCATGGTCCAAAATGAAGCGCAGAGCTATCCCTCTCAGAGGTATGGGTTTTAACTGAGTCTGACTGCAATATGGTGAATGCATCTAAGAAAGGCTAAGTGGATGATCTTGAGATGAGAAATGTGTCCTATCTCTTGGACAGTTTCTAAAGTGGCCTAGTGGCCCATGGCCAGCTGACTGAACATGTGGCTCCTCTGAGAGGAGGGTCACCTCAAACCTTTATCTGTCCTCAATTCAGCTCAAGGGTACACCATCCACCATAGTTCCCATATCTAAGAGACCATTCTGTCCAAAGACATTGGTCCTACAATCTTTCTCAAGCTCTCTGCTGAACGTCTGACTCTGCAGGCAAACTCACTTATCTGTCACTTACCTTACCAAACTTCAGAGTGTCCATTCTGCTGGAAGAAGGTGTATACTGGGACCAAGATCAATGGGTGGGAAAGGGAGAAATACTTTATCTCCCTGGATACTGCTCATTTCGTGTCTCCAGACCAAAGCCCTCTGATTGGTACATAAGTGTGCCTTTGTTCTCCGGAACTGCCCAGACCTAGGTTTCCACCTTTTTGTCCACCTCTTTTGTCACCATCATGTTTCCCCACCCTCTTCCTTCATATTTAATAGACAAACATTATGTCTGCCGCCTGCTTCAGTTAACACACTTTATAGATTATAGTCTCAGTATATACATTAAACACCATGTGAGCTGATCAGTCCATTCTGGGACTATTGTCTTAAAATGTATGTTAAAATATTTCAAAACGGGATCTTCCACTTGGAAATAAATGTGTCATTGTCTGTGGTTTTTGTCTGTTTGTCTGTTTTGGTTTTGGGAGAAGAACCACCCTGAAAAGGAGCCCTTCTGGACTATCCCAAGTAAAGCTTGGCATGCCTGGGAAGTCCCTGGGTGATCGAGGATTGGAGAAGGGAGGTGGACAGGTGACTCTCAGTGGCCAGTAGTGGTGATAACTGAGTGGTGGCTGAAAGTTTTGTTTCATGTTTGGTCATGTCTTGTGTCTACTTTGTCTGGGATCTGAATTATTTTCGAAGCTAGGTGGGAAAAAATTAGGAAGGGATAAAATAGAGTTAATTCAGAGACTTGGTTGTGGTCAAAGGAATTGTCCCTTTTGTCTTGGTCTTAAATGTTTGGTACCTTCTCCATGTCTAACCTCTTCTCATCACAGAGTTATTGCTGCTGTAGTTTTGTGTCCTGGGGAATGATGCAGTTTCCCTCCTAATTCATCTCTTCTATCTACCCCCTTTATTTAATACCATAAAGATTTGGTGAGAGGACCTCTCCTAAATCTTCACATTTGTTTTCTTATTAACTCTAGGCTGTCATTAGGTTGAGTCCTAAAGTCCTGTATGTTTCAGTCACCCACCCCTGACCTTAATCTGATTTCTGCCGTCTGTTGGTCTTGCCATGAGAGGCTTCCCTCCTTAGGGGAACTCTGCCTTCTATCCCTCCTAAGGCCATTAAGGGATAAGGCTTTTTTGGAATTCATTTGATTTGAGGAGTGGCATTTTCACCATAGCCATGATCAGCTGAAGAAATATTGAGGTCTTGGTTTATAACCTTCTCTGTTCCCCAGTTTGGCTTGTGCCTTATTTGTAAGGAGAGGTTGACTGTGGCCCTTGCCATTTATGAGGGAGGTTTTCCTTCTCCTGTGTCAGTATTGTCTCTGGGGCAATCAGTGCCA